AAAAGGGGTTTGGGGGGGTGAAGACCCCCAGCTTTTTTTTTCACTTTGCAGGATCCCAAACTCTCAAGGACTTTATTTAACGGATGACGCCCCGCCTGGCCCACTTTCTCAGAATTGCAATTTAAACGGGGGAGAAGCTCATGGGCTACAAAAGGGGAGGTGTCGTGCATAAAATTTACCCATTTTTCCAAAACGTCCTGATCGAACACGTAATGTGTCAAACCGGGGGTACCACAAGTTCCCCAATCATTATTATGGGTTGGGATGTTTTAAGGGAAAAAATTTTAATTTTGAATTTAAAATGTGATTATCCAAATATACTGGATATGTCCTGAGGGCTGTCGAGGTGGAGAAGTCTTTCCCGGTGATTTTACAGTTTCGCAAAGCTTTTAAGAGATATGTTTTGGGGAAATGCAAAATGGCAATCCATTCAGAAATATTCCCCGAATTGTAAAAGAAGGCAAAAGCGAAGAACCCAAAAGCAAGGCCCCCCCCCTACCAAAACCCTTTTAGACTCGCTTTTTAGTCCCCCTTTCTTGGTAAGAGCAAGGAGCAAAAATAACTGGGCCCCTCTACCAAAAAAACATAACAACTGGCAACACCCTCATTATTAAAATAATTGTGTACGACACGTCGTCTGTTAAAGGGGGCATATCACAAAAACCCCTTTTTTCCTTTGAATCCAGGGGAAACCCTTTCTTTGGGCCTCTGCTGTTTAAGATCAAATAAGATGAATCGTCCTCCAGTTCTACCTACCAAAAGATTATATTGTTTCAAACCCCAAACATATCAATTTTAAAAAAAGAGATTAATCAATAAATTCTTGCTCATGCGCCCATAATGAGAGAATTTAAAATTTTTTTGCAGGAAAAAAAAAACCTGCCCGGCCGGGTGTGGGGGTTTTGTGACAGGGCTCTAGTGGGCCCGTTCGTTTGGACCTTTCCGGGAAAATCCCAAAAGCTAAATCAAGGTTACCAAAAAGAGCCCGGAAAATTTAAAATTTTTCATGACATTAAAAAGGTTGGTATACCATTTTTTATGGGTTTAAAATTAAAAAGGGGAAAAAAATACCGACAGGTTGTTAGGGAAGACACATTAAAGCAACAGTTAGGTATCTTTTTTTTTCGAAAAAGTTCGCCTACACAGTCGAAACAGAAAATTGTTTTTGCAGAAGATACATCGTCTTCAAGTCTCTTCTGCTTTTAAACAACTTTTCTGTATTCGACTGAAGAAAACCTAAATGTGTAGGCGAAACTTTCGAAATAAAGATACCCAACTGTTGCATATGTGTCTTTTCAAAATTTCTATAAAGTCTACAGACGTCCCCGAGAACGTTCATAAAAATAGGTGTTTTATTTCGCAATAACATCGATTGAGAATCGAGATGTAATTCAGAAAATAAATAAATATACTGATCGTTTACATTGTGTTTTTCTCCTGATCAACATGGCTGACTGATATACAAGCAAAACATGAAAAGTTAGAAACTGCAATTGATACCAACAAACACCATAGGCACATGTGCAACACTGTCGTCTACACAATAGGCTTCTTTCAGTCATGAAAAATTAGACACATGGCAACATCTGCTTTTTTTCCTTACAAAGTGCAGGAGTGAGTCGGATTGTCTCGGGAAGAAGAATCAACTTATATCGTACGAGTTTGTTTAAACTCAACCTTAAACGGTCCGGGAGCATTTACTTGAGAATACAGGAGATGTATCAGTGTCTGAAATTTGTCGTAGTACTCTGTTTTCTGATTCTGAGTCTTAACAAATCATGCTCAGTTTTACGATGGCCATTTGAGCATTGGACAAGCACTCGTCATACAACATTATATTGGGCGAATAGTCAAAATTGGTCATTTCAAGAATAAATTATAAATCCTTTCTAAAATTTCCTATACAGTACGTTTAAAGTATATATATATAACACTGTCTCTGGTGAAGGAACTCGAACCTACAACCTTAGACTAAGGTACGCAGTGCTTTAAACAATCTACCCACACTTGACAATTCCTTGCTATTATATATAGAATATTAATAATATATATATATATTTAATATATATATTATATATATATATATATTATATATATGATATATATTATATATATATGCTAAGATTTTATATATATATATATATATAGATATATATATATATATAATTATATATATATATAAAATTATATATGTCAAGGATTATAATAAATTATATATATATATATATAATCTATATTAATAATATATATATTATTAAATATATTATATTATATGCAAGGATTATATATATATATATATATATATATAATATATATGTGCAAGGATTATATATATATATATATATATATATATATATATATATTATATATATGAATAGATAAATAAAATGTATAATTTTTCAATTATATTATTGTCAATATTGTGACAAGAGCTTCCGATATTTTAGCTATCCCCCCGAGAAGCCCTCCAAAATTCCGAGGGCGAAATAACAGGTTGTTGGTATATATATTGGCGTATAAAAAATTGATGGGTAGACTTCAGGATGCATATGTTTAAAGAGGGGCAGCAGATATACCAGATCATTGTTTACTTGTTACAGTAAGAGTAAAAGGTAGATGCTACTCAAGGAGAAATATATCAGAAAGTAAGAGAGAATTGAAGGTTAATAAACTAGAGGAGGAGACAGTTAGGTTAAGAACTAAGCAGCTTTACGTAGACAGTTGGGTTAGTGTTCAGATATAGAAGGGTGGGTGCAAGAAAGAAGAGGAGTGACTGGTGGAATGATGAGGTAGAGTGGTAAGAGGGATGTGAGAGGTTTCCACAAAGTAGAAGTGATAGGAGGAAGGAGCATATGGAGAAAATAAAGAGAGGTTAAGAAAGTGGTGAAGGAATGTAAAAGGAGAAGAAATGAGAGCGTGGATGAGATGCAGTCAACAAATTTTAATGAGAATAAGAAAAAGTCTTGCAGCGAAATTAATAAGCTCAGAAAGCCTAGGAAAGGAATCGATTTGGCAGTTAAAAATGGGAGTTATTAGATGGAGAACTGGAGATATCAGGAAAATGGAGGGAATATTTTATGAAAATGTTAAATGTTAATAAAAATAGGGAAGATCTGATTTCGTGCACTGGGCAGGCAGGTGTAACATCTTACAGAAGAGAGAGCCACAAATGAGAGTTGGGGAGGTGCTTGAGGCTGTAGAAAGGAGAGGGGGAGCGTAAAGCAGCTTGGATTGATGAATCAAGAAAGAAGTATTAAGTGCAGAAAGCATACATAAAGGCAAAGCGGATAAAAGATAGTGTAAGAACTATATGAGAATAAGCCTATTGAGTATACCTGGTAAGGTGTATGGTAAAGTTATTACTGAAAGAATTAAGAGCAAGACGGAGAGCAGGATAGCAGATGAACAAGATTTTTGGAAGGGAAGGTGATCTGTAGACCAAGTGTTTACAGAGAAGTGTATAGGTGAACTGTATGTAGATAAGGTAAAGAGAGTTTTCGTTGCATTTATGGATATGGAAAAGGCGTATGATAGGATGGACAGGGAAGCAATGTTGCAGATGTTGCAAGTATATAGAGTAGGCGGTGGGTTACTAAAACCAGTTAAGAGTTTTTGAAAAGAAAGTGAATGGTGAACTGAAGAGTCTATGGAGACAAAGAACGTTATCCATAGAAGCAAAGATGGGAATGTAAGAGAGTACAGCAGTACTAACGCTCTTATGTGGGTGTGAAGCGTGGGTGGTGAATATTGCAACTGCTAGGGCCTTCGAGGTAACTAGTTCCCCTTTCCTTGGGTCCGGAGAGAAGGTACAGACACCTTAGGCAACTGCCTGAGGTGTGGGAGACAGCAAATGTAGCTCCGATTTTTAAGGAAGGAGACAGACAATCTGCACTAAACTACAGATCTGTGTCGCTGACATGCTTGTAAAGTTACGGAGAAGATTATCAGGAGTACCTAGAACCGAACGGAATAATACATGACAACGAGCACGGCTTGAGGGAAGAGAAATCCTGCATCACAAACCTATTGGAGTTCTATGACATGGAGCAGAAGTAAGATGAGAGAGAGAGGGATTGGTACACTGCATCTTTTAGGACTGTAGGAAGGCTCTCGACACAGTTCCACACAAGAGATTAGTTGAAAAACAAGAGGAGCAGGCAAGAATAGGAGGGAAAGTATGCAACGGATCAGGGAATACCTGACAGGAAGGGATAGAGGAGATATGATAATAACATAAAATACTAAAAGAAGTTGACAGGGTGGATAGGGACAGAATGTTTTAGAGATGTCACACAGAAACAAGAAGACACAACTGGAAGTTGAAAGATCAGATGAGCCACAGAGATGTTAGGAAATATTTCTTCAGCCATATAGTTGTCAGGAAGTGGAACAATCTGGAGAGGATGTAGTGAAGGCAGGATCCATGCATAGCTTTAAGAAGAGGTATGATAAAGCTCACGGAGTAAGGAGAAAGTGGACCTAGTAGCGACCAGTGAAGAGACGGGGCCAGGAGCTATGACTCGACCCCTGCAACCACAATTAGGTGAGTACAGTTATAGTACTGTAGAATTTTAATAAAATTTTCTATTATTATTTCATCTATAATTTCTTTGTAATTTCTACTATAATTTCTTCTCTATTTTCTATTATCATTTCAGCTATAATTTTCAACTGTAAGTTGTACTATAATTTCCTACTATGATTTCTATTATATTTTTATTTATATTTCTGCAATAATATTTTGCTATAATTTTCTACTATAATTCCAACTATAATTATTACAATTTTTGCTATAATTTTCCTATTTGAGTTCTACTTTATATTCTTCAACAGCTTCTATAATTTTCTAATATAATTTCCATTTTAATTCGATTATTTTTCACTATAATTCTCGATTGTAATTTCAACTACGACTCGATTATTTTAACTATAATTTGATAATTTATGCTATAATTGGATAGTTTCTGCTGTAACTATAATTCTCCTTGTGCCGGCCACAGACTACGAGGTGACAAGTCCCAGTACGCCACGGACGTGCAGCAGCCCGGCCGTGCCCGTGCCCGTTCCCGTGTACGTGCGTACACGGCCTTCTGCCCTGCCAGACACCTCCGCCAAGAAGTGTCGACGATCACGGACCGTCTTCACAGGTGAGATCCGATAAGATAAGGGCGTCTTGAGGCTTAGAGATGAGTTCTTGATCCAAGAAATGGGACGTATGCCCCCCGTCCTTTTCCTCCTTGATAAATTAGACACATGTGCAACTCTTGGGTATCTTTAGTGAGGAAACGTTTCGCCACACAGTGGCTTCATCAGTCCATACGAAGGAGAATCGTGAAGAACAGGAGAAGAATGAGGTAATCAGTCCCTCAACCTTGAGTCGATGTGGTCAGTCCATCAAACTTGAATAAAATACAGCATAAGTGCAGAGAAGTAGCTTATATACCGTAGGCAGGAGAGGTGCAGCAGTCGTAGGTGGTGTCACATTTGTTCAATGTGGAAGTAGGTCGTGCCCAAGGGTTAGGCAAGCGAAGAATTCCCAAGTATTAAGATCCCAAGAAGTTGCAGTGTCTGACAGGATTGTAGATGAATGGTTCAGAGAACCGACATGTTGATAAATTAGACACATGTGGAACTCTTTTGTATCTTTACTTGGGAATTCTTCGCTTGCCTAACCCTTGTGCACGACCTACTTCCACATTGAACAAATGTGACACCACCTACGACTGCTGCACCTCTCCTGCCTACGGTATATAAGCTACTTCTCTGCACTTATGCTGTATTTTATTCAAGTTTGATGGACTGACCACATCGACTTAAGGTTGAGGGACTGATTACCTCATTCTTCTCCTGTTCTTCACGATTCTCCTTTGTATGGACTGATGAAGCCACTGTGTGGCGAAACGTTTCCTCAATAAAGATACCCAAGAGTTGCACATGTGTCTAATTTATCAACGTGTCGGTTCTCTGAACCATTCATCTATTTTCCTCCTTGGATGACACTAGCAGAAACAAAGTTTTGGCTAAAATATTTATTGAGAGAACTTTTCGCCCTCTCGGGGCATTATTAAACACCAGACGCCCAGCAGTACTGAGCGTGTTATCCCTGATACAACGACATTCGTGGTCGTGGAGCTTCAGAGACTTATTTCAACCTCATATTGTTTGGTGTACCAGCCTTCACGAGCACTGACAAGTGTGAAAGTACTTGAGCTATAGATTTCCACCCCTCGTGGCTTGTCTTGCTTAGTTAAGATCGCCTGTCTGCGGTTGTTTGCATATATATATATATATATATATATATATATATATATATATATATATATATATATATATATATATATATATATATATATATATATATATATTTTATTTTTTATTTTTTTTTTTTTATTTATCAACACCGGCCGATTCCCACCAAGGCAGGGTGACCCGAAAAAAAAAACTTTCACCATCATTCACCTCCATCACTGTCTTGCCAGAAGGGTGCTTTACACTACAGTTTTTAAACTGCAACATTAACACCCCTCCTTCAGAGTGCAGGCACTGTACTTCCCATCTCCAGGACTCAAGTCCGGCCTGCCGGTTTCCCTGAATCCCTTCATAAATGTTACTTTTGCTCACACTCCAACAGCACGTCAAGTATAAAAACCATTTGTCTCCATTCACTCCTATCAAACACGCTCACGCATGCCTGCTGGAAGTCCAAGCCCCTCGCACACAAAACCTCCTTTACCCCCTCCCTCCAACCCTTCCCAGGCCGACCCCTACCCCGCCTTCCTTCCACTACAGACTGATACACTCTTGAAGTCATTCTGTTTCGCTCCATTCTCTCTACATGTCCGAACCACCTCAACAACCCTTCCTCAGCCCTCTGGACAACAGTTTTGGTAATCCCGCACCTCCTCCTAACTTCCAAACTACGAATTCTCTGCATTATATTCACACCACACATTGCCCTCAGACATGACATCTCCACTGCCTCCAGCCTTCTCCTCGCTGCAACATTCATCACCCACGCTTCACACCCATATAAGAGCGTTGGTAAAACTATACTCTCATACATTCCCCTCTTTGCCTCCAAGGACAAAGTTCTTTGTCTCCACAGACTCCTAAGTGCACCACTCACTCTTTTTCCCTCATCAATTCTATGATTCACCTCATCTTTCATAGACCCATCCGCTGACACGTCCACTCCCAAATATCTGAATACGTTCACCTCCTCCATACTCTCTCCCTCCAATCTGATATTCAATCTTTCATCACCTAATCTTTTTGTTATCCTCATAACCTTACTCTTTCCTGTATTCACCTTTAATTTTCTTCTTTTGCACACCCTACCAAATTCATCCACCAATCTCTGCAACTTCTCTTCAGAATCTCCCAAGAGCACAGTGTCATCAGCAAAGAGCAGCTGTGACAACTCCCACTTTGTGTGTGATTCTTTATCTTTTAACTCCACGCCTCTTGCCAAGACCCTCGCATTTACTTCTCTTACAACCCCATCTATAAATATATTAAACAACCACGGTGACATCACACATCCTTGTCTAAGGCCTACTTTTACTGGGAAAAAATTTCCCTCTTTCCTACATACTCTAACTTGAGCCTCACTATCCTCGTAAAAACTCTTCACTGCTTTCAGTAACCTACCTCCTACACCATACACTTGCAACATCTGCCACATTGCCCCCCTATCCACCCTGTCATACGCCTTTTCCCAAATCCATAAATGCCACAAAGACCTCTTTAGCCTTATCTAAATACTGTTTCACTTATATGTTTCACTGTAAACACCTGGTCCACACACCCCCTACCTTTCCTAAAGCCTCCTTGTTCATCTGCTATCCTATTCTCCGTCTTACTCTTAATTCTTTCAATTATAACTCTACCATACACTTTACCAGGTACACTCAACAGACTTATCCCCCTATAATTTTTGCACTCTCTTTTATCCCCTTTGCCTTTATACAAAGGAACTATGCATGCTCTCTGCCAGTCCCTAGGTACCTTACCCTCTTCCATACATTTATTAAATAATTGCACCAACCACTCCAAAACTATATCCCCACCTGCTTTTAACATTTCTATCTTTATCCCATCAATCCCGGCTGCCTTACCCCCTTTCATTTTACCTACTGCCTCACGAACTTCCCCACACTCACAACTGGCTCTTCCTCACTCCTACAAGATGTTATTCCTCCTTGCCCTATACACGAAATCACAGCTTCCCTATCTTCATCAATATTTAACAATTCCTCAAAATATTCCTTCCATCTTCCCAATACCTCTAACTCTCCATTTAATAACTCTCCTCTCCTATTTTTAACTGACAAATCCATTTGTTCTCTAGGCTTTCTTAACTTGTTAATCTCACTCCAAAACTTTTTCTTATTTTCAACAAAATTTGTTGATAACATCTCACCCACTCTCTCATTTGCTCTCTTTTTACATTGCTTCACCACTCTCTTAACTTCTCTCTTTTTTCTCCATATACTCTTCCCTCCTTGCATCACTTCTACTTTGTAAAAACTTCTCATATGCTAACTTTTTCTCCCTTACTACTCTCTTTACATCATCATTCCACCAATCGCTCCTCTTCCCTCCTGCACCCACTTTCCTGTAACCACAAACTTCTGCTGAACACTCTAACACTACATTTTTTAAACCTACCCCATACCTCTTCGACCCCATTGCCTGTGCTCTCATTAGCCCATCTATCCTCCAATAGCTGTTTATATCTTACCCTAACTGCCTCCTCTTTTAGTTTATAAACCTTCACCTCTCTCTTCCCTGATGCTTCTATTCTCCTTGTATCCCATCTACCTTTTACTCTCAGTGTAGCTACAACTAGAAAGTGATCTGATATATCTGTGGCCCCTCTATAAACATGTACATCCTGAAGTCTACTCAACAGTCTTTTATCTACCAATACATAATCCAACAAACTACTGTCATTTCGCCCTACATCATATCGTGTATACTTATTTATCCTCTTTTTCTTAAAATATGTATTACCTATAACTAAACCCCTTTCTATACAAAGTTCAATCAAAGGGCTCCCATTATCATTTACACCTGGCACCCCAAACTTACCTACCACACCCTCTCTAAAAGTTTCTCCTACTTTAGCATTCAAGTCCCCTACCACAATTACTCTCTCACTTGGTTCAAAGGCTCCTATACATTCACTTAACATCTCCCAAAATCTCTCTCTCTCCTCTGCATTCCTCTCTTCTCCAGGTGCATACACGCTTATTATGACCCACTTCTCGCATCCAACCTTTACTTTAAATCCACATAATTCTTGAATTTACCATTCATATTCTCTTTTCTCCTTCCATAACTGATCATTTTAAAATTACTGCTACCCTTCCTTTGCTCTAACTCTCTCAGATACTCCAGATTTAATCCCATTTATTTCCCCCCACTGAAACTCTCCTACCCTCTTCAGCTTTGTTTCGCTTAGGGCCAGGACATCCAACTTCTTTTCATTCATAACATCAGCAATCATCTGTTTCTTGTCATCCGCACTACATCCACGCACATTTAAGCAACCCAGTTTTATAAAGTTTTTCTTCTTCTCTTTTTTAGTAATTGTATACAGGAGAAGGGTTACTAGCCCATTGCTCCCGGCATTTTAGTCGCCTCATACGACACGCATGGCTTACAGAGGAAAGATTCTTTTCCACTTCCCCATGGACAATAGAAGAAATAAAAAAGAACAAGAGCTATTTAGAAAAAGGAGAAAAACCTAGATGTATGTATATATATATGCATGTGCGTGTCTGTGAAGTGTGACCAAAGTGTAAGTAGGAGTAGCAAGATATCCCTGTTATCTTAGCGTGTTTATGAGACAGAAAAAGAAACCAGCAATCCTACCATCATGCAAAACAGTTACAGGTTTTTGTTTCACAGTCATCTGGCAGGACGGTAGTACTTCCCTGGGTGGTTGCTGTCTACCAACCTACTACCTATATATATATATTATATATATATATATAATATATTATTTTATTATTTTTTTTTTTTATTATCACACCGGCCGATTCCCACCAAGGCAGGGTGGCCCGAAAAAGAAAAACTTTCACCATCATTCACTCCATCACTGTCTTGCCAGAAGGGTGCTTTACACTACAGTTTTTAAACT